CTCTCACATTTAAAGTTAAATTATTTATAATTTGATCTTCAAGTAAAGTACAATTCTAGTCATGGATCAGATCATGAAAAAGTTGTCTCAAGAATCACACAAATTATTTAATATAGCATGAAATTCACAGAAAGAATACTTTAATATATTTTCTTTCTTTCTTTTTTTTTTTTTTTTGTTAACCATACTATATTCTACTTTGTTACAATATAGCTGTAATCCTCATTTTGAAATCAACTGTTTCTGGTGGCCAACCATACAGGTCAGCTTCATGATCCCAATGACTTCAGAGTGCTGTGAGCATTCCTTAAAACTTAGGCAATTAAATACTTACAAAAAATCCCAATATAAGGCAGACAAACTAAAATCCAAGCACAATAGCAAGATAGCAACTATAAAAATCACTTCAGAATCTTACAGAAGTATTTTCATACAGCTATCTCAAAAAGTCCACAGGGTTCACTCATTACAAAAAACATAAACACACTTACAAGATGCAGAACTGTGTCCCAGTAAGTAGTGATCATGGAAATAACCTTGAACTGTGTTTGCTAACTGAACGCAAAGGTCCACTACAATGATGGTGGTAACAGAGCCAAGTTTTTGATGTAGAAAAAGAGATAGATACTATTACATTTTTTACTCGTCATGCCTACGAAGCTACAAAATTATTGAAATACTGGTTTTAGTCGAAATCAGGATTTCAAATGCATATTAAAAAAATACCAGTAAAGGCTGGGGGAAAACATCCTAAACTACATTACTGCAGGTAGATTTAAGTAACCTGATCACAGCATAAAAATTCTCACACGGGGGAAAAGATATCTAGTAACAAACAGGTCCCCAAAAACTTCAGTGGTTTTTAAAGCGTCACGATGGCTAGAAACCGATACCACAAGGAATCAAACCAGCATCATTATGTATATTTGAGAAAAAAAAATAATTGGCACAGTCTGTTACAGATGTAGCAGAACTTATACTAGTTTAATTTTTAAAGTCAAGATTGTATGCTGTCATAAAATATATGCTTTTAGTTAAAAAAAGGTATGAAGGTGAGTAGCATTATTTGCTGAGACCGTTCTATTATGCTTGAAATCAAATCAGATGATCATACTATATCCTAGTTATTAACTGCTTACGAAAGATGGCAATCAACCTATAGCTACATCATCTGCATTTCTTCTATTATACTCATTGAACCTTATGATCATAAATGGAAAAAATAAAAGACACCCTTAAGAAGGAAGTCACACTGACACAATTACAGAACCAATGCATGTGAATATCTGCACAGCTCTAAAGAAAGTAATGTAAAACTGAACGTGCTTCTGTTATCAAATTATTTCATTTAGTTGCCTATAGTCTTACTTTAAATATAAACTATTCAGAAAACATTAACCCATTTTCCTCAGTTTGTAACTAATAAAAATGTATTAAAACAACCTTTTGATATACATCAAGTTAGCAGACTGCAGTCAAAACTACACTAATTTAATTCTAACAGCTTTAAGTCAAAGGTTTTTAATCAATAGGGTATACTTACCTGAACATATTACGTCTGCAATATATTGCAATTCTTTAAACAGTTTGTGGAATAGTAACATAGTACTTTTCATGTGTTTGTATTTAACTGCTAAAGTAGATTTAGGTTATTTTTAGGCGTTCAAGAGTTACATCAAAGAGTATGCACAGAGATGAACAGTTATATGTGCTAAATAAAAAAACTGATTAAGTGAAATCACAATTATCGTGCTTAGAAATAAAGAAAAAAATCCCAGATGAAAAAGTAAGTAGAATTTCTACTTGTCATTCACACTAACCCTAGAATTAAGTAATTTCTTTTATAGCATTTGCTTCTATATTATGAATATTAATTCATTTTATTATTATGAATTAATATTATGAATGGTATTTTTATTGTGATTGATCTCCTACCTTTAGTATGATACCAAGCAATATTCCTTTCATATTCTCTGAAGAAAGTCTCATCCACAATTACCAGTAAACAGCTTGCTTTATTAGCAGGAACGGGAAAGAGAAACTATGCCTTTAATTATGGTATAATTCCTGCATCCTAAAACTCTCTACTGAGAAATGATTTACGTTCAGCCATGTCTCATTTTCTGAAACACTCAAGCAGTTAAAGAGGTGTTCAGCCTGGAATTCTTTAAATTTCTAATCTCAGTATATGCTATCAACAACAATTCTTCAACAAGCTGACAGAAACAAAAGAAACGCATATTGAAGACTGGGATGTCATCTCCTTCCTCTCCCACACACTCCCCCACCCCTCCCACCCACCCCTTAACAATTATTCTTCAGTCTAAAAAAAATCCAGGACTGTAGAAAACTTAAAAATATTCAATGATAAGCAGAAACAAATTTGATCACTTGATATAAACGGAGATGACTTTCTAAAAAAGAAAAACACAATTTATCAGGTCATCTATTAATTATAAAAACATAAATCCTTAGGCAGAATCAGTTAATTTCTTACAGTCTTATCTATTTTGCCAAGCCACCAAATTCACTAGTATGATAAAAGCTGTCAGACATCTACAGTTCAGGGTGCCTATTTTAATTACCAGGAATTGGTAATCTAGCTGTGACATCAATGTGTGTGCACTGAAGCAAGGCTGCCCAGGAGACTTTCAACAATTAATGTTCAAAAATTTCATAGGATCCTCGTATTTTTGCCAATACAATAAAGCATTAGTACTTTTTTTTTTTTTTTAAACTCTTTTGCATTGTTGGACAATCTTTCTTTAAGAAATTCAGGTGATAAACCGCAGAGCAGAGAAAGGTAAACATTACCTGCTTGGCGGTCTTTTCTCACCAAATCACTGGAGTGATGCCAATCATTTTTGTAAGTACAGTAAATACATAGGTAGCAACACAACAAATGGCAAAGCATTTACTCAACACAACTGAAAAATAATGTATATAACCTGTAAAACAGAGCTGTCAAGCTTAACAAGAACACACGATTGCAAAAAGTGCATTTCAATATGTTGGTTTTGTTTACGAACAAAAGTGGGGCTGACTTGACAGTATTCAGCCTACGCACATGATGACATGACAAAGCATTATTATAAGATTCTTCTGATGTGAATGTATCTCTGGGAAATAATAAGCGCTTTTTTTTTTTAATAGAACAACTGATAAATGTGATTACTAAAAAGTCTCTTAACCTTGCAAATAAGACAAGGTGGAAGAGAATATGTAAGTAACAAGAAACAATTTAACACTTGGTCATGAGTTGCCTCCTTAAGCTACTTCTCTGCAGTCTTGTGAGAAACTTAAAATAAATCCATATGGAGAAGATAGTAAATATCTTCTTGTGAACTTCTGTCACTGAATCCATTCAGATGGTTAATCCTGATAAAACTTACTTTCCAAACACACAGTAGTTAGGAGAACCTCTTCATTACATCCACCTACTACATGTGATGAGCAGCTACGAATGACTCTAGACACAGAATCATAGAATTGTTTAGGTTGCAAAAGCCCTTCAAGACCATCCAGTCGAACCATCAACCATGCCCACTAAACCATGTCCTGAAGTGCCTCATTTACACATTTTTTGAATACCTCCAGGGATAGTGACTCAACCACTTCCCTGGGCAGCCTGTTCCAATACCTGAAACACTTTCAGTAAAGAAATTCTTCCTAATAACCAATCTAAACCTCCCCTGCCACAACATGAGGCCTTTTCCTCTCATCCTATCTCCAGCCACCTGACAGAAGAGACCAGCACCCACCTCACTACAACCTCCTTTCAGCTAGTTGTAGAGAGCGATAAGGTCTCCCCTCAGCCTCCTCTTCTCCAGGCTAAACAGCCCCAGTTCCCTCAGCTGCTCCTCATCGGACTTGTGCTCCAGGCCCCTCACCAGCTTCATTGCCCTCCTCTGAACATGCTCCAGCAACTCAATCTCTTTCCTGTAGTGAGGAGCCCAAAACTGAACACAGGACTCGAGGTGCGGCCTCACCAGTGCTGAGCACAGGGACACTGGGGAACGATCACTTCCCTGCTCCTGCTGGCCACATTATTTCTGATACAGGCCAGGATGCTGTCATCAGTCCCCTCTTTTTTTTTTTTTTTCTTTGAGAAACCCACAAAACCATGACTTCTGTCTCTTTGCAGTAAGAAAGAATAGATGTCACATGAACTACCTGAGCTTCTATAAATGCACAAAATGCCTTGGACTTGGCCACTTGCCATACTTCAAACACTTCCACATATACAGACACGTGCTTTGTGCAAAATAAAAACATGCAGATTTCTTTTAAGAAAAAAAATGGACTTCTGCTTAGTCTTTCTCACAGTTTTGTGAGCTTCTTGCATCTACAGTATACTTGTTACTTTGCACTTTTGAGCAAAAGTAAAGCTGGATATATGAAAATTTTGGAGGGAGAACAAGCTAGACAGATTTCAAATCTGTGGTATTCTCCCACAGATTTAACTTACTAATGCTTAAAGAACCTACAGTCTCCATTCCCAACAGAAATAAAAGGGCTAATCATTCTTGTATACAAAAAATGTAAATATTTTTTCTCTAAAATGATCTGTTAAAAAATTTAAATAAAAACCATTAACAAAATAAATACTCTCTCCCTTCAAAAAACCCAATACATCTGAAGCTAAAATAATACATACTCTCCACAGTACTTCTGATAGTTTTCTAGATTGAAATGATTCACCAATTATCATTAAATACCATTCTTAAAGGCAAAAAGCCCATAGTACTATCTTTATGACTGGTCACTATAACCAGTTCCCTCAAGAAAGCTATCTGGTTTCCCCCTTGGAAGTCTGATTTTAAATGCGTAACCTACTCGGTTATATGGTTTTCTACATTCAGCGTGTTCTGTTATGCTTTCCTCTGTGCTATAATAAAAGCATGGAAGAAGAGACTTAAAACTTATTTTCAAGTGCTGTAAATACTTAACCAGACGATCAGGATGTTCAGATCACCAATGAAAACATGCAAAAAGGATATGCTCATCTTTTCTACAAACTTATCATGTTCATCTTCTGTTTTAGGGAAATTCTTAATGTCAAGTTCTAGGCGCTGGATCTGCTGGTCCATTAAAACAAGGTTGCTCTTCAGAGTCTGGGCTGAAACTAAGAAAAAAATGACAATGAGTAAAAAGCTTCCAGATTCCAGAAAGGGAAAAAACAATGTCAGTATAGTCTTAAGAGGAATTATTCCATTAAGTAGACTCACATTTTTCGGAATTACTGCTCATAAAAATCCTACTCTTCATAAAAATTAAGTGAAAATATCTAATGTAATATACCAAATCATCATATTTAATGTTGAAATGTCACCACTTAATTCTACCATTAGTTCAAATTATTCAATTTCTATTTAAATTTATTGGTAAAAATTCTAATATTTCATTCTCTTAAATCTAATTCAAAGATTAAAAAGTAACTAAGGTTCAAAGAGATTTTACCTTATTAATGCATGTACTTGGTTAAATGAATGATCTTTACTAACGCATGTACTCTGTTACAGAAATGATTTAAGGAATAGACACGAAGCAAAGATCAAATACTTGTCTTTTATTGAAATTAAACTGATTTCTAGAAACCAACATCTGTGAAACCCTCTGTTAACATCAAAAGTAGGTCTACTGATAATTAAAAAGTAGTAAAGGACTCACAATACGGCACAAAAAAAAAAAAAAAAAAAGAAAAAAAGAGAGGCTACTCTAAAGCATCAATGCTTATTCTGTCATATACTATTCTAAAGTTAACCACTATTCCTGCAATTTGTATTAAACACCCACTATTTGATACATCTTGAGAAAAATCTCCACTGGAAATCGTGACATCACAATTTTGAAGACGAAACAATACCATACCAGGAAGAAATTCCAGAACTAGATGAAAAGTGACAGAGTCTCTGCAGAGAAGCCCCTGGTCAAATTGTAATATTAAAACAAACTGAATCCATAGTAGAGTTTAATGACATAATCCATAAAGACCACTTATTCTGAATTTAATCATAAAAAGTGGTGACAAGCACTTCCTCTCAATTCAAAGATGCATTTTAGAACAAAATTCTATCTTCTGTTCTTTGTCTCCTCTTGCATAGTTTACAAGTATGTGCTTTCAAGAACAAGCAGACAATCGCAACACCACCTTTTGTCAAAGAGAACCGTAACATTTGCGCCATTTCACATCCTTCCTCTAAATCGAGTACAGAACATTTCAAATACACTTTGTTTCGGAGCCAATTTACACTCTACAAACTACATAATCTTTAGTGAAAGTGCATATAAACTTGGTCAAGTCTTAAAAAGACAGTGCCACAAACAACTGTTGATATATGGAACCAGAGGTGAGAACATCCAGCACGTTATCTCCACTTCACTAATTGGCCAAATCAATGCTCTTTATTGACTGCAGGCAGCTGCTCTACAAAGCCAACACTATAGATATGAATCCCAGCTAACCCAAGGAATCTTTGTGTAGTCGAGATAAATACATGACTTTTTTGTTTGTTTTTAAGGGGTTTCTGCTTTTTATTATTTTTTGACAGTAAGCCATTTGTCCAAAAGTTGCATAGAGTATTTTCAAAAGAATGGTTTATTTTCCTATTTCCTTGTAATTGTGCTGCGACTATGTGAGATTCAAGATTTGATTCAAGATGGCTTGAAAAACAGTATATAGGAAATGAAAATCCTGTAAATAAGGAAGCTGTTCCCAGAACAAAATCAATTCTATATTCTTTGTAAGTAACAATTCGTATAAGCCTTAACACCACTGATTTAACTTTTCACAAGCCCATTCAAATACATAAGGCACCAATACAGCTGTCACAGAAATAATCTTGTTTTAATTTGCAATTTTATACTCGGTACCAAAGGAACTACTAATAGTGTAATCTTAAAATTATAGTGAAACAGCTTTTTAAGCTTAACTCAACTGGGGGAAAAAAAATAAATCTATACTGACCACAGCACTCTGGTAGCTATTAACTTAACATTCAAGAGCTAACCTTGAAATCAACCACTAAAGCAGTTTGAATAATAAACATTGTCAAAGCTTTTAGGTTATGGCTGCATTAGTTTAATAATTTGGTATTATTGTCAGAAAAGGAGCACACTTCTTTGCTTGAACCGAAGAACTTGAATTACTGTAATATTTTTATAGGTTGTTATGTAGTTGGATAGGGAGACAAACAGCACTGAAGTAAAACACTAGAACTGAAAAATAAATTAGAAGGATACAAATGGTAATTTTGTTGGGTAAAAAGAATAGCAGCTGGTAAGTAACCAGGCAATGTAACAGTTAAAGTTTAACTGTTTTTACCAATTTGAAAATATTTAAATGCATGACTGCTTAGCAAGAGTAGTAGTTTATTTTTGTCTGAAATATAAAAGTGCAAAGAAATTCAGCAAGCAATGACAAATAAGAAGTCTTTGCCTCTGTGGTTAAAATGGAAAAAAAGTGTTTTCAGTAACTCTGTTTTATAAAACTAAGTTCAGAAAACAATTCAGATTAGGTGCATACTGAGTTTGAAAGTATGAAGGAACTCTATCCAAGAAGGCTGCATTCAAAAGCTGTGCTTCCCGTAACTAAATTCTATATTCACACTGAATTATCAAAAAGTATTGTAGAATATGCATTTTGGTTCACTTTTTTTTTTTTTGCTAGCCCAGACAAATATACAAGCTTCTGTTCAAACAATTTATGAAGCTGTTGTTCCACAAGACAAGCTTAAAAAGACTACGTAACAGGAAACGTATATATAGACTATAATAAAATATCTGCACTTCCTTCCATAAACCATTTTATTAGAGATTAACTACTTCAGTAACGTGAAGAGGAAGCAACATGAATACCCTTTACTCTTTCAGAGAAAATCATGTAAATTTCTTATAAGTCTTGCAAGGTTTTAATTTATGGAAGCATAAACTCTACTTGCAGCAAAATGCCATTTCTTTGAAACCATTCCATAAATGCACATATTACAATGACTGCCTCTATCACTATGCTCCTCAAAGCTGGTGATCACAAGACAAAGGCTTGCTCCCCTTCAATTTGCCCATCATTCCACACGAAAATTAGGCATCCTGCTAGAACTAGTCTAAAAACCTACATGAAAGGTAGCATTTGGTCTTCAGTGGCACGCAAGCACTGTTCAAGAGCTATTCCTGGGAAAGCCTCTCTGTAGGAGCAATTACAATACTATTCCATTTAATGTTGCAGCAGGAGAGAGCAACCAACTAAATCTGCTACACAAACATCTGATTTCAAGATAGTAACAGCAAGGCAAATATTAAAAAAAGAGGAAAAAGAAAAAAAAAAACAACCCACCACCAACAACAACCAGAAACAGATGGTGGGAGAAACAGACTGGAGGAACTGCAGTGTTCTCTGTAAATAGCATATCTTGTTGCCAGCACAGTAGAGAGCATCAGGTTGTGTGGACCACTGGGCACTTAGTACATGATTATGCCTTAAGTCAAAAACCACATAAACCCCAAAACCTATATTCGGACCCATCTTCAAGGCTAAAGAGAGGAAAAAAGGCAGCAAGATTTCTCAGTCTGTACCAAACTGTATCAGACTGGCCCCTTATTTAGCAATAAGAAAAGGCTGACTCGCAGAGAGCTGCTGCAACTTTAAGATGGAAAGAAATGGAGCATCTTTAACACGTGTACCTCAAACCACTATCATAATAGGATTTATGAGACAGAAGAAAAATCCAATACCAGAAATTAAACATGTATGTTTCACATAGAATTACTATTAACATATAGGACTGATATAAACAAGGTGAATATGAAGTTATGCGTATTAATATATTGTCAGATTATTTTTCATGTCAGTGGAAGACTAATATAAGCACCTGGATTTATCAATATTCTCTCTGCACAAATACTGAATGAAGCTCAGTTAGTCACGCATCATTAAATCTACGACTGCTTAAAAGATTACTTTGAATATTATTATTTATTTACAATAGAAATCCACAGTCATCGAAGAGAAGGCACGCAATGTCATTTTGACATGAAAGCTGATAATTTTTTTCTTCGCTTAACTGTTACCCCTATATTAATTTCTCCTCTGAAAAAAAAAAAATCCCATCCACTTATTTTGGAGAAAGCAGTTGCACAGACTGCACGCTAAGGAAGGCTTAGTGAATGTCTGGTAGTCCACTTTAGTCCTAGAAAAATGCTACAAAGCAGTTAATCTCATGTTAATGTCAAACACTAGCTAGTCCCCACCGTCAAGCTAAGCATTTTATATTTACAGTAATACAGTAATAGTACCAAAGGACAGACTAATCCTTTCTAAAATAAGATTGCACCAGACCAAGAGTCCTCCCCTATAACAAGAGATGAAATGATACATTTTGATTAGGCGCAATCTCTCTTGCATAATAAATTCAAAATGATCAAAATCATTTGAATGGATCAGGATGCAAAACAGGAATGGCTATGTCCATGTTTAGTAAAAACTCTACAGTGAGAGCCAATGATATAAATTACTTCAGTAAGCAAAAGCAAGTCTATACGAAGCAAATGAACTAGTGGATTTCTAAGTCTAGGCAGTATTTGTACCATAACTACATTCTGAGCATACTAATGATTATTTATTTCTTATTGCCTGAGGGCAGATGGAAGTAGTCTTTCACAAATGTCTGAAAAACAGTTTGAGGGGAAATGGGTGAGCAAGTACATAATCTGCAGGAATTACAATCATTGATTACTCAATTCATACCACTAAGTAAATTTATATTTATTGAGAGAATAAATGTTCTGTTGGGGTTAGGTGAACAGTGCGGCTGCTGCAGTCTACTTGAGGATTCTGAGTAGCACAGTGTTCGCATGTGTCTATCTCAGAGTATGCCTGTATATTATATATGTGTTTATATACATGTACATATACTGTGATAAATCTCTCACGGGTATACATACATACGAATACGTTTATATATGTATTCTTGTGATACAGGTGTACCATGATATGTGTAACTCACAGGCATGTATGTAAATGTACATACATTTATATGTGTGTATACAAACACACACACACATATATATATCTGTGATATATACCACAGTATGCCTGTATCGCACAAAACAACCCATGCTTGAAGCTTC